CTCATCTTTGGCTTGTTTTAACTTTGACAAATCCCTTTAGTGTGCATGCAAGCAGTCCTTTCCAACCTAACTGCAAGTACAGTGGCAATCTCTTCTAATGTTACCTAATGCTGACTTCTTAGCAGCGCGATGTATAACCTACCTTACATGGCAGCGCTGTCTGCATTTTGATTGTACAAGACAACATGTCTTAGTGGACCAGTTGTAACTTTACCTCTTACATTCATCTCCAAAACTGTATTTTTTGCTGATTTCAAAGGTAAATGTTTTGTTGAAAAAAGTCTCTCTTTGCTTCCATAAACAAACCCGAAAACTTCACCTTCTGCAGCTTTGCTGAGATTGAATTCCTGTGTTGGTGTTTAAAACTTACCGAGTAGTGAGAAAGGTTCTTTTCTCCTTCCCTTAATCAGAAATGGCAGCTCCACTCTCTATCATTAAGCACTGAGACTTTTCCCCTCACTTCTCTAGTTGATAAAAGCAAAAGATTTCCTCAACCGATGACTGCAGAAAAGTTATTTCTACTAATGGTGTGCAACCTGGACGTAAACCTGTGCACATGTTCTCTAACAAAAATGCATGTTCACAGATTTGTACAGGTGACAAAGATGTTGTGTGTTTTAAAACTCCCTGATGTCATCATGATCAACTGAATTAGGTTGGAAAATCCTACTCTTTGCATCTGCAAAGAGAAACCACTTCCGAAGGTAAGTATATTTGTAGCTTAAGGCTGGAGGAGGATCAGAGCAGCTGTGGTGGTGCACGGAGACGGGACGTGGAAGACCTGCTCTGGGTTTTGTATTCCCCTTGGCGTGGTGGAGCTCATGGATCAGCCAATTTGGAGCTCGACCAGTCAGACACTCCTCCCTCCCTTTCTCTCCCCAGGAAGGGCAGCACTCGGTAGTAGCCATGGTTGGCTCTACTGTAGTTCTGCAAGGCTGTAGGAGGGTCCAGTTCCCTCAGTGCTTTCCCAGTACACAGCCCGTGGTGGGCGGTGGCCCATAGCATGAGCTGTGGACTGGGCGGAAAACAGATTTTCTAAGATACTCACAGCTTTGGGTGATTATCTATGTTCAGACAGGAAGCTCCAAAACAACTGAAATATAGTAATGTGGTTTGTTTGTTTTGTTTTTTTTTTTTCCCCAGCCTGATAGTCCTTATCAAGGAGGAGTGTTTTTTCTCACAATACACTTTCCAACAGACTATCCATTTGCACCACCACAGGTATGTCCATTCAAAACTTAGGGTTTTTTGGTCAAAGCTTTGTTTCTGTGTCTTAGTTCTTCGAGGCTTAATTTTGGAAGTTTAAACCAGAAAGGCCAGCACTCTAGAGTATGTGTTCGTAGCAGATGAACAGATCAGACCGTACAATAAATTGTGTTGACAGATCTGGTATGACTGAAACTGAAGAAATGATGTTAAGGATTCCAAATGTCGTAAATGTAACTTGATTTTTTAATTTACTGCTTTTATTCTAGGTTACTTTTACAACAAAAATTTACCACCCAAATATAAACCATAATGGGAGGATATGCCTCGACATCTTGAGATCTCAGTGGTCACCAGCTCTGACTGTATCTAAAGGTAAACTCGCATATTTGCTGATGTTTTGGTGAAAAGCCATGAAATGTCATGGCGCGCTTTTGTGTACGGCTGCGCTAAGGGTGGCAGCGGGAAGTCATCCTGCGTGTTATAGAAGTGTCAAATTCCACCGGAATTCTTATGATCCGAGATTTTGCGTAGTTTATTTGGAATGTCACATTGAGTAATATTTTATGTGCGTGGCAGAGAAATGTTCTGAAACAAGTTGGGTAAGTTAATAAATGTACGATTAGCCTGAAATGCAGCTTCTGTATTGTAGCTGACTCTACACGCAGAACTGAAGAGAAACTGGTAAGCAGAGCTTCAAAAGCAAATTAATTTGAATGTAAATGGAAAAGGCTGATACTGACATGCCCGGGCTTACCTGATTCTGTATTGATGGCTCTTTGGGTTGCCTGAGGATCCTTGTGTGGGCTAAGGTCTTAATTACACTTATTTTCAAATCAGATGGATTGTTCTGGTTTGCCTTCCTCTATAAGATGACTGTTTGAAATTGTAGCCGCTTTCAAAGTCATGAGTACAAGATTTATTAAAATATTCCAGTCCTGTAGTTAAACTTTCTCACGTTGAACACTGTAGATTTTTGGAACGTTGAGGTTACAGTTTAGCAGTTCTTTTGTTGCAGGTATTCAGTGTCACTTCAAAAGCTGCTTAAAATGTGGGTGCTATCGTTGTTTTTTTCTTGCCCATCTTCAAACTGCTTAGGCACACTTATAGTCATGTTACGGAAAGGTCTGGTGACTCAAAAGGTTAAACAGTATCACGTCTTGCTTATGTGCTTGAGAGCTCTCTAAACCATGTGTCTTTGTTTAGAATGGTGTCATTGCATTTGGTGTACAGGCAAGGAAAAAACGTTAGTCTCTGTCCCATGGAAACCGCTCGAGGTTAACTAAACTCTAGGTTTAATACTGTTTACTGAAGTAGTTGCTGAAGACATGGATTACTCTTGTATGTGGCTGGTATCAACTTTTCACAGAAATTGGCTGTTTTATTGCAAAAACTGGTTTGTTTCCAGTATCATATTATTTAGAATGTATTTAGCAAACGAAAGTTGGCACATATCCTGTGTAACGGTTGGTATTTTTTACAACTGAAAACTAACTTTTTAGGTCTTTAGCACTATTTTGTCTTTACTTGCTGAGAGTTCCAGTTCCTTCAGTTATAAAGCTGACTGGCCTGCTGGTCTTATGTGTTCTGATTTGACGTGCTTTTAACATACCTGCACGTTATACGTTTCATAAACTGGAAATTAGATTGATGGCCTATGAAAGTTTTTCCTTTGTAGTTTTTGGTTTACTGAATCAAGGGATTACAACCTACTGATAGCACCGCTGATTGGTGTGACTAAGTATTCTAACTCGATTTTCTAATATTACTGGTGTATTTAGCACTTAATGAAATATGCCGGTACTAAGTGGTCAAGCTTGCTACAGCTGAAAATAGGTGTTAGTCCAGGCTCTTTGGTAACAAGACAAAGCAAGGGGTGGGGAAAAAAGCCTCTTGTACAGCATATTCTTATGGCAGCAACAAATTCCGTCTTGCAGCATGTTTGGAATTGTTGTACTTATGAATTCATATAAAATAGAAATTTCCTGAAAAGTATGGACTGAAAATGTTAGAAAAATCAAACACCCTTGGTTCAGTACCAGGAAATGAACATGAAATTATTACTGAATACCTGCCTATAATGCAAATGAGGTATTTTCCCAAAGTGGTAGTCACACTTAAATGTTCATAGGAAGGAGAAGATAACTGTCAGCGCAGAAATGGAGAAAGATGCGCACAAATGGAGTACTGCATGGCAGTGTAGTATTGACGGTATCCATTCATTGGCTTAAATACTTGTCGATGGAAGGGCTTAGTTTGGTCAAATGTTGATAGGTTAACTATGTAGTCCATTTAACGTTCGTAGGTTAAAGTATGGGCGTAAGATCCTGGCAAAAGGTACAGGTCCGTGGGTTACAAGTTCTCTAGGCTAGCATAAGGTGTTTTTACTTAAGACCTAGCAAAATGATGCTGTATAAACATTTCTCAGCGGAACCGCTGTGTGAAAGCTTAATAGTAATATGCATTCTCTTTCCAATCTTCCCTCCACCACTCTCCTTCAGAATATTAGAATATATTAAAGGATTATAGAAATAAAGTAAACTAACTTGTTTAATCTAGTGTCTCTTTTATTTAGTTTTACTGTCCATATGCTCCTTACTTCATGATCCTTATGCAGATCATCCGTTAGAACCGGGTGTTGCAGACGTCTACAAGTCAGACAAGGAAGAGTGAGTATAACATAAACATAATTGTGTGTGGTACTTGCAGGTAGTTACCTGCTGTGCACCTTCTATCATAACTTTTAAAGATACTCTTCTCATAGATTTCTATAGGATTAGATTTTTAAATCTGGAAAATATCGATCAGCAGAGTGGCAAGCAGAAAACCATAGGTGTACATTACTGTTGGATACTCACTCGTGTTTTGTACTTAGTCGCATTGCTTTTATCTCCGGGTAGACAGAGGTAGTGACCTAGAAATTACACAGAAGTCTCACAGAATCACAGAATGTCAGAGGCTGGAAGGGACCTCAAAAGATCATCTAGTCCCGGCCCCCCGCCAGAGCAGCATCACCTACAACAGACCGCACAGGAACGCGTCCAGGAGGGTTTTGAATGTCTCCAGAGAAGGAAAGTCCACACCCTCCCTGGGCAGCCTGTGCCAGGGCTCTGTCACCTTCACAGTGAAAAAGTGTTTATAGTCTGATATTTCTCTCTAAGAATTAATTAATGGCCTCGTTCTGTCACAACTGTCAGTTCGATGTCTGATTCAATCAAATCACGTCACTCCAAATTGAGGGTGTTTTGCCTCAGCCTCTCCCTGATTGTAGCTCAGGTTTTGTCCACCCGTGTAATAGTGGGGACTTCAGCTGTTGTGCCTCCTGCCGGTGAAGGAAGTGAATGAGGGATATTTCTCCATCTCCAAAACTCGAATCATTGCAAGAGAAAGTGAGGGAAGACTTGCAGAGTAGCATATTCTTAAGAAGAAAACCAGTTGGTACATGAGTTGCTAATCTGATATTAAAAAACAGATTTAAAAACTTGTCAGTATTTTGTCTGGAGGACCCAGAAGAAAGTGAATGTAGTCTAGAGTGGAATGTAATAAATGGAAGCAGCAGAGCGGAAGTTATTGACTGACTGAGAACATTTACCTTTGGGAATGCTAATCAGCTTTATACCAGAAGGAAAAGGCCCAGAACTTACAATCTAGGAAAAAAAATTGATTTCAGAAAATTTTCCTTTCAAATTCTGAAATGCAGTGCAGAACGGAGGGGAAAAAAGAAAACTAAACAAAACCACTGTGCCTTCTATCCCCACCCTTTCCAAAACCAGTTAATTGTGCTGAATTTTTTGTAAGTCAAACGTGTGAACTTTGTCAGGCTGTTAATAGCATACATGTTCAGGAACAATTGACAGTAAATTCCTGTTAAGGTACAAATAGGGGAACAAGTTGTGAAATGCAAAGGAGGTGTGAACAATGATCATTTTATTACAAACCTGCAAGATTGGGTCTGAGCCTAAATAGCTTTAGGTAACTGAGTGTGCAGTGGGTGTACGTTTCTTGGCTTTCAGACTATTTTAACATTATTTGAATCAATGCTAAGAGGTGAAAAGCTCAATTACGTCTGTATTAAGTGAATTTGCGGCCATTGTCAGTGTGTCACTAACGGCTCTTCATTGTAATGCCTTCTTTCTGCACGTACAGATACTACAGAATAGCAAGAGAATGGACTAAGAGATACGCAATGTAAACTTGCGAGGTACTGTAAGTTGTAGAGTTTTTCCCAAACAAAAAGGACATGGAGCACAGTTTACTGTTTCAATGTGTCATGATGCCTGTTGAATTTTTTTCAACCATTTAAGTGTGTTTCTGGAGCAAAGGAGAACAAACTTCCAAAAATAAACTTATGACTGTCCTAAGAATATTTATCCTCTTTGTATGCTTTGCAGAAGACATTTATTATGTTTTTGAGTTTTTTTAAAAGTAGGACATCTGCATTTTCAGACTGTGAGATCCATAATGCAGTTGTAAAGCAACCAAATTACTTTTGCGGGAAAAAGTAGCTGTTTTTATGTGATGAATACTGTATGTGTGTCCTTAAGTACGTTGTCAGTTTCATAGGTGTGTTCAGATTTCATGTTGTTAGTTCACTTATATAATTTTTAGGATTTTTTTACTCTAGGGACTATTTTATTTACGATGTAAGTCATTTCATTTTAGACTGACTTGCTCGCGCACAGTACTGACAAGTTACAACTGCTAGTAATGAAAGTAATTGGAGTATGCCACCTGTTAGGATATTCTAATGACTGACTGCAGATCTTTGCACTGTAATTCTTTGTACGCTGATTTTTGAGAAACCCTTGGGTTTGATTCTGTTGCGTACTTGGCTTAATTTTATTGCAATGTGAACTAATTGCACTGCTACTTAGAAAGTTATGTAACTGTTTTGTTGCTATTCACAACTGATTTCTCTCACGTGGGCAACAAAACACCATCACAGACCTTTTACAATTCTAAAGGTGGCCTTTTCCATAGAAGTAAAATGCGTTTTCTACTACTTATCTGGGCTATTTTTTTAAAAAGCCAAAACGTGCGTATTCTTCAAGTGCTTGTTCTGACATTAGAGAGTCAGAGTACTGAGCGTGCATGTGTCTTGTAGCTAAAAGGGAAAGGAAAGCCATCGCATACTACTTAGAACGGCGTTGCAGTTAATTTTTATGCTAGCTGTAGCCTAATTTATTTAGCATGCTGTGCTCGTTGTTTTGTATGGGATTTCAGCTGGTTTAATGACATGTGTCATCTGTATTCGTTTACAGAAGAAAGACGCCAAGTGTTGGAACATCAGACCCTTCAGTGAAGGTGGTGTGTTTGCAGCAGCTGAACGCTTCCGACTGTGCCTGTGGAAAACCAGTCGTGCTGGAGAGGGGCAATTTCTTCTTATAAAGTCGATTAAAAGCAGAAAAAACTTTAATTTCCTACAGTACCTTCTTCTCGGATATCTGAAAATAAGAACGTGTAACTGGTGACTTGCACTTGGGAAACTTGTCATCGTAACTTGTCTGGGGGCACGCCC